TAATATGTGTGGTAAGCCTTTTTTGGTTTTCAGGGACTTTAGGGTGATGTTCTTCTTTTCTTATTTTTTGGAAAGAATTTTAGGAAAGTTTTTAATGAATTATTAACTCTAAGGCATACACATGGTTAACATTCCTAAATGCAAATCACAAATACATTATACTCAGCTACAAATAGGAATTCTGATTTTTAAAGTGAACTTTATTTTAATTGACAATTAGGTCATGTACACCTTATTTCAAGACACTGGTTTATTGGACATATTTAAAATTCCCACTCAACAATTTATGAAGTATTTTCGTGCATTAGAAGATGGCTATCGAGACATTCCTTGTAAGTATTAACGTCTTATTATTTAAGTACAAGTAATACTGGTTTTGAAATTCTTTATTATCTTTCTCTTTAGATGGTCCCTTAAACACTTTTAAAACTATGTGTTTGGAAAATTTTTAAATAAAGGTTTTAAAGAAAATCTGTATTATGCTAGCCAAAGTTAACTGACTACTCTTAACATATTAGTATATATCCTTCAAGAATTTCTTCTTATATAAATTTATTTTTTGTAAAGGGAATCATAATATTGATATATATTTATAATCTGCTTTTTACACCTAGTTTATGTATTAATAGTATACATCTTTCTATGTTAATAATTATTTGCCTTAGCTTTTTAAATGTTTGGTAATATTAAGTCAGTCAAGAGTTTCAGAAAATATTTTACTTTAAAATGTTTAAAATTTATCCGTAGTTTCTATTTTTAACTGCATTCTGATTTATGGAATAATTTTTAATGGCTGTTTGATTTTATGATTGACTGTAATTTGAGTTTCATATTAGGAAAAGATGTGGCTTTTTTATGTATAGTCTACAATATCCCTTCATATGGACACATTATTTGGGAAATTGATATAAATATCTCTAGTATTCATAAAAATTATTTAATTTTTCTTACATTGGTATAACTCACTAATAAAGTTTAACAATTTAAGGTGAGTTATATATATTGTTATTTCCACTTATAAATTGTACATTTCAGAAAATGGTTGAATTTTATAAATGGAATGTAGGGATACGTTAAGATGGAATGTAAGGGAAGCAGAATGGAAAGAAATGTGGTAAGGAGTCTTCACTGTCAGCTTCAATTAGGATATATTAGTTAAGAAAACAGTCTCTGGAGATAACTTTTCTAAACTTTAGTTTACAAATTTGTAAATGGGAATATTAATAGTACCTACTCCATAGGCAGTGATAATAATATAAGAATAATTCATGTAAAGCACATATTGGAATTCATGGCACATAGTATATGGTCGGTAAAAGATGATGATTATATTAGTGATAATTAAGCTCCTAGTGGATTGACATCATGTGATGTCTATAGCCTGAACACTTAGTATTGTATTATCTACTAATGCTATCTTGTAGGTATTCATTAAACATTTGTTGAAGTGTTGAATTTTTATTAGATATCTGCTATGACTATAATCATTAGATTCACATAGGTTGTCTTATTTAATCTGTGGGAAAGGTTGTATTATCTACCTTTTATGGATGAGAAGTAAACTGAGAAAGAGCTTTCCCAAAATCGTAAAGCTAGATACCAAAGCTGGGTTTCAGTTCCAGGTCTGTCTGACTACTAAAACCTATATTCTTTATACTATGTCATACTGCCTTTTCACATAGTGGAATTTCAGTAAATCAGTGTTCTGTTGATCATATACTATGTGTCAGACACTGTTCTGGATGCTTTCACATATCATTTATCATTTAATTCTTATAGAACACCTGAGACATAGGTATTTCTTACCTTTTTCTTTTTTTTTGGCAAAAGTATAAGTATCCAAAAGTTGTAACTGTTTTGTGTGCAAACGTGTGTCTCCATAATGCACATAATACATGATATTTTTTTTAAAGCCACAAAATAGTAACCTTAAGAAAATTTTCCAGTGCCTTTCAATTATCCTAGGTTACCCTGGCTTTTCATTGGACCCTTTACTATGTTGCCATAGTATATATGAAAGTTTTTAAAAGAGAACTTTCTAACACATCAAGAGACTTTAATAATGAAACAAAATACAGTTGTGGGAAATTATTCTAAGTTATACATTTTATGAGGATATATAGTATAACTAGAAAATTCTTGTACTTTAAAAATGTCCTATGTCAAACCTGGCAGAATGACCATTTTTATAAAACATTTTGGTGACTTTAGATCACAATCGTATACATGCCACAGATGTCCTACATGCAGTTTGGTACCTGACAACACGGCCAATTCCTGGCTTACAGCAGATCCACAATGATCATGGAACAGGAAACGAAACAGGTACTTCTGTCTATAAGTCTCTCGATGATTTTATTAGGAGAGATAAATCAAGCTCTCTCATTTTATTACCTCTGCTCTTTAAAAAAATTTTAAATAATCTTTGGTACATATAAATGACTGTAAATTTTGACACATAAAAATGACATGAAAAATTTTAAACCTGCTGTCCATTTTAAGAGGTTGATTAAGATCCAGTACTGGAATCTGTCATGTTTCTTTCTCTGTCCCATCCTGTTGATTTTCTACTGAGGGAGCCACTATCCTCAATATTATGATAATCATTCCTTGGCTTTTTTTTAATTCTTGGTTTTGTTTTTGTTTCAAGTGTATCATGTACATTTAAAATATATAACATTCCCAACCCAAAAAAGCCTCCCATGAGTATTTAAATGATGATATTAAAAATTCTTTGTAAACATGAAAATTTTGCTTCCCAAAAAGTTAATAATTCTCAGGGTTGGAAAAATTATGGAACAAAAAGAAAAAACCTAATATTTCTCATCATAAATACAATTATTTATTTAACTCTAATGAATTATGATATTCATAGTTCTCTTATTCTAGCTTATAAAAGGTAGAAGGAATACTCCAATAAGAGATATATATCAGGATAGAATTTGCTCAGGTACCAATACCTGAGAAATAATATTACCATACTGATCAGCATAAATGTCATAGACTCAATCATTGCTTTACATTTTGGTAGTTGAGTCTGAAGTACTGCCAATATTTGTTTAATGGATTTGCTTTTGTCACTGATTCATTTTTGTCTGCCATCTGTATTTACTCTTTCCAGTGCCCTTGATTCCTTTCAGCAGTTCTGTGCTTCCATCAGAGGACATTTTTTCAGCTTTTTTGTTTGTAGATATCTTAATTTTATCAGACTATTTTTATATTTCAGCATATTTGAAGATATTATTCCATCATCATCTGAATTTCATGGATTCTTTTAACATGTTAGCCTTAGGTTTTATTGAGAAATGTAATATGTAAATATAATATGCTCCTGATATATTCCTTTTTACTTTGCTATTGGTTTTTAGCATTTTAACTGTGATGTACTCAGGCAATTTTTTTGGTATTCATCCTGCTTGGCAGGACAAAGGTAAGGACAAAGGGAACATGGAATGAGTGGTGAAGTAAGAAAATGGTAAATCCCAAGTAAGTTATGTGACAAGTCACAGAAATGAAGTCTATAATAGCTATATGTATTTTCCTCATTGCTTTGATATGTTTTTATTTTATATATTAAGCAACATTTTCTTCCTCTCTCATTCTTCTACCAGCCAATATATGGTTGATGAACATTTGGGTTCTTCTCACATCTGGGGTATTATAAATAATGCTTCTGTGAATATTCATGCACAACTTTTTGTGTGGACATGTTTTCACTTTTTCTAGGCATATACCTAGTTATGGAATTGCTGGGTCACAAGGTTTAACATTTTGAGGGGCTCCCAAACTATTTTACAGTCCAACCAGTAATGTATGAAGGTTTCAAATTCTCTACATGCTTGCCACTTCTTGTTATTATCTACCTTTTTGGTATGACTATGCTAGTGGGTGTAAAGTGGTAGCTCATGTGGTTTTAATTTGCTTTTCCTTAATGGCTAATGATGTTGGGCATCTTTTTGTGTGCTTATGGGCTATTTGTATCTCTTTTTTGGAGAAACGTCTGTTTAGTCTTTTGCCCATTTTTAATTGGGTCATTTGTCTTTTTATTATTGAGTTTTAAGAGTTCTTTATATATTCTAGATACAAGTCCCTTATTAGATTTATGATTTGCAACTATTAGTTCCCATTCTGTGTGTTGTTTATTCACTTTTTTCTTTCTTTTTAAAAATGTAATTATTTTT